TTCTCCTTCCATGACCTCCAACTTTTTTTACTTGCTGCCCCTGACAGACAGGTAGGAAAAAAACAATAAGTTCAAAAAAATCATGGGAAATAAACACCCTACTTCTCCTCTCCTGGTATCATTTTTTAAAAGATGAAAATTTCAGAAAAAAAACAGTGTGTTCTATTGTTTCATATAATCAGGTTCAACTTAAAAATCTTGTCAAAACATTATAATTTAACATTATCATGTAACTTGATTTATATAGCAAGTAAGACAATTGTGCCTGCTCTGAAGAGCTTGCTGCCTGTCAGGAGACAAGACAAGACACTAGGGGAGATTACACCATGAAGAAGAATAAATGAGTGACAGAAAAAGGAATACAAAAAACATCTTAGGAGTTTAGGTGAACGGTGCAACACATACAATGTTAGCTCCTATGCTTTCTTTTCTCTTCTAAAAAAAGTCTTAATGTTTTTTAACTTACTAAACTCCTTTGATAAAATTTTGCAAAAACATATAAATGGTTTAAGAGCCACTGTTGTTATTTCCACAAGTATACAATCATTTACAGCTAGTAAGTTGAAAAATGAAGTTCCTAAGCACAGGGTTGGTTGTGGTTTTTTTGGAACAGGATGTCCACTTGGCTCTGTACCACAACTTAGTTTCGCAGGAGTGTTTTCAGTGGAGGATGATAGGGAGAGTTCACAGAAAGCGTGGTTTAAAAGTGAATGTACTTCATGAAAAATCCTCTCATAAGCAAGATCTTGGAAGATTACTTTGGGCAAGGATGAAGGTGTGATTTGAAATTGAAAGAAGTTGCAGTGCATAAATTATCAGGAAAGAGGTTCTGGGTATGTTTGTGGAAGATGGACCAAAAGAAGATAGAGAAATAAAGAGTTGGCACAGAATTGAGGGTTCAGCCTTGCCTTCCTTCTTCCCTGAGCCACTGGCGTTCTCCTTTGCTCACAGTGTGCACCAACACCTCTAACATACCCTGTCAGCTCCCCCAGGCTGACATATCCCGTTCACTTCTGCAGGTGCTGTATCACCCGTATGTACGTCCTTCTGTGCTCTTTTCATGTAGTCAGTCACGAACAATTCTGTTCTTCCAAGTGATGTCACCAAATAGCTGGGAAATAATTATATATTAGAGAAGAATATGTCAGCTAATGAAATAATTTTTACCTTGTTCTCACAATAAAAATCCCAGCCTTTGACCTGCTCCAGATTTTGCCATGTAGTATACTAAAGAAAACCACCACCAACAAAACTGCTCTCTGATGCATTGTTTGTAAGAAAAGTCCACACATAGCGAGAGGCAGTTTAGAACATGAAAGGACTGCAAAAATGTTTCTTTTGTAGCTGAACGATGCAGGGAGGTACACTCTTGCCTGCATGCATTAGTAGATTAGTAGTGAATTTTGTAAATTGAAGTGTAGTATAGTTGGTTGAGTATTTATTGGTGTTTTCAGTGATGCAAACTTGTGAATGGCTTAGGAAGTATCTAGTAACTGTATAACTTGCCTCACATTCCTGAAATGTTCCCAGAGCTTGGGAGAAAAATGTAGCGACCTTTTATGTCTAAAAACCAGATATTTACTGAAGAAGTAATGAAACAGTTAAGACATCCATTTCCTAGACTTCAAGATTAACCAAAACTGCTCAGGCAAAACCTTCAGTCTGAGATGGGACTAAATTTCAGGACAGTAGAAAAATGTGTCATGTTCTAGAGTAACAGCAAAGAACGAACAGGTACATATTTATCAGAGGAGACGTGAGGCCTTTGTTAGTGTTTTGAGGGGTGGCAGCTGCTCCATGTGATGCGAGTACGTAAGTGCTTGGCCTCCTCACTGGTAGAGGGCCTGGATCCTTCCCTGGGAAGGGCACTGTCTGAAGAGTTGTCTGTGAGATTTAATCTTGGCTTTTCCACCAGCCTTTTGAGTGACCCAGCGTATGGCACGGCGTTTGAGCATATTCCTCACTCTTTCGTGTTTTGTCTGCTGTGGACAGTAAGCGCCTCCGGACAGTGGCGATCTTTTGTTAGATATTGGTACCAGGGCAAACAGAGTGGACCGCCAGCCCTGATGGCATCTCTGCTCATTATTGTACCTTCCTCCAACTTATTCGCTGCTCCTGTGTCTGTACCGAGGGAGCAGTAACATAGATACGCTGTGTATGAGTGGCACTTGTGAAAGAGTCACAGGACAGGCAGGACGTACTTTTCTTCATAAAAAGAATTGCTAAACCCCTACGATAAGCACAGGATAACAGAGGGTATTACTAAAGCATAACGTTGCAAAGATTGATGATAGGTTACAGAAGCCCTTCAGTTTTGTTTGTTGTTTATGTTTGTTAAAAGTATTTTGGAGCACTGGAAAAATGTAAAACCCTTTAAAGAGTGAACTAACAAAAAAACCAACCTGGTGGACAGGAGAGTCTAGCTCTGTACAGCTATAAACTGGTTTTAGGATGAATTTAAGTTTTTTCCTTAGAATTCTGAAAAACTACATTAGCGTGTGTTGGTGTAGTAGTTGCTTTCTAGCATGGTCTCCTAAAGAGTCCCAGAGGCATTACCTGCACCACCAAAGGCACTGGTTGTGACCATGCACGTGGCCATGGGGTGTGCGCATGGCCATGGGGACTTCAGCATGTTCTTCTCTCACAAGCATCCCCTTGATATATCTACCAAATGAACTGTAAAGGATAGGAATTACCACAACAGATGAGGCTACGAGAATCTGCCTGGCTGTTTAGGAAGGTGAAAATAGTGTGATTTATGAATTAGCATGAGATTGTGGGAAGAGGGGCTGAGGCTTATATGTGTGTGGAGAGAAGAGGAATGTGGGACAGCATATAGAAGTTAATCTTACTGTTTTAATACAAATAATTCGTAACTAAAAATTTTAACGGGCTGTAAAACCAACATTCTAGTGAGAAACGTTTCCCTCGTTCTTTTCTTTGCAGTTGAGAAATTAATAATTTTGTATTCTCTCATGGCTGGTTCTTGAACAAAATGTCCTTTCCTGGAGAGGAGTCTTTCAGAATGATACTGGGATTAGCCTTTGAGCTACTAGTGATGTGGAAGCAGCTAAACACCATTCACCCTGAGTCTTTGACCACCATCTCTTTCTTCTCTGTGTCTTCACATGTTTAAGGCCCACTGCTTGGGTCACAAGATAACTCTCTAGAAAATTGCAAGTCAGAGAAATTTTTAATTCAGTCCATGATATGAAACGGAAAGTGGATGCCTCAGTAAAAGCAAAGTAAAATTGGGAAATGTGAAACAATGGCATCCGCTGGGAAAAAAACCCAAGCAAATTAGCATATCTGTTACTTATCAACAGTAAATAAATAGAAGAGAAGTTGTGGCCTGGTGCTGGTGCAAGGACATTCATTAATGGGGATGCCTGGTTGGACCTTTAGATTCCCATTGCTTGGCTGGACAGCCTTGAAGGACTGAGGCTTCAGTCAGCAAAGCATTATTTAAGAAATTTTTAAAAATAAGCAGGCACGGTTACTGAAGTTAAATACCTGTTAAGATGCTTTGCCAGCCCAGATTTTTTCTGGTCCTCCATTTCTAGAAGTTCTGGTATTTAATTCCTAACAGAAGAACAAAACGTGTGAATGGAAAGATCACTTCTTTATGAAGGTTGCATTATAAAAGGAAAAAATAAACGTTAGCAGTTTTCCTGAAAGCGTACACACCGACACAGCTTATTTCTAACATTTGAAAAACATGAGGTAAATTTCTTTCCCTTTGTCTTCTGTTTCCTGTAACTTAGGCTTGATACCGTTATAAACTTTAATTTAATAACAGCTAATAATGATTGTACAGAACAGCCTGCATTGCCTTCTTTTTCCCTAGTTCACTCAAAAAAGCACAATAAAGGAGGAAAACTTTTAGTCTACCTCTCTAATGAAATGTACAGGAACATTTAGGTAGCTTTTCCTTATGAAGTGTTCTGCCTTTTCCATAGTCTCATTTCAAATGGCTATTTTAATGCTACAGGAATCGTGCACACTGCCAGAACATAGGGACATACAGAAATGCTCTGGTGATCCTTATTTGGGTGGAAAGTGCTTAAACATTTTATTATTTGGAAAAGCAATACAATGCATGTGTATATATATATATATAATTTTTTTAACCTGTTTTCTTAATAGTTTTGTTGATGGGCTAGTATAAAGTTTGTTTTAACAAGCCAGGTATGTAAGGAGTGACCAAAAGTGAGCGCTCCGTAACATTAAAACATGCCTGTCTCCATCGTGATTTTTGCCGTCTGAGGTGATTTTCCTTTATAAACGCCTGCAACTTTTTCTTAAACCTTTACTGGAGCCCTTTATCTCATTCAGCAGTTAGCACTTCTTGCTAAAGCTGAAGTAGTTTTCCCTCAGAAGCAAAAGTGAACCACAAGTCATGGTGTGGAGTTGGCGCAGGAATTTCGGAGGCTCCTGTCTGATTTACGTAACTTTGCACGCTTTCTCCTGTTGTAGGATCAAACTCTGAAACGAAAGCAAGATTTTTTTTTTTCCTCACCTAAAAGAAAACAGTAGGCAAGGGAGTGCCGTTTCTCATCTGTGTGAGGCTCAGTTTACTAACAGTGAGCAGAGTTTGGTTAACTTCATATTCTGGACAAGCTTGTAAATTTGTCCCCTTCTAATGCTGTGATCTTATCAAGGTTGTACTGTTTTCCTTTTCTTCTCCTCCACCCCCATCTTCTTTCTTTCCTCTTTTTTTTCTTTTTTTTTTGAAGTGCAGCCTTCTGATCAATGTGCACTTTTTTTTTCCATTTCCCTAAATACATCATGAAAAAGGATGAGGTTTCCGCCTTAATTGCTTGTGCCTTTTATTCACATTCCTCTCTCAGCCAGAATTGTGAAAAGAGTGTTAGTAAAAGGCTGCACAATAGAGCTTTTCATTAGGCCTCAACAAGGCACATAAGAGTGAATGCAGGACTTTAATTTGCAGGTGGAGAGTAGATAAAAGGTGCTGACGCCTCTATTATTCTCTTACTTAGGTGACCCTTACCCTGTTCAGCTGATCCCAACTACCATGGCAGCTGCTGCCGCAGCAACACCAGGCTTAGGCCCACTCCAACTGCAGGTAAGTCCGAAAACAATGCAGAAGAGGCAAAGGTTAAGTAAATATGAAAAAACAGTTTTCTCTTCCGTTTGAACGCACTGCAATTAACAGGGGGTTTGGTCCGCTCCCTTCACGTAAAATTTGCCTCTGAAGCAAAATAATCGTCGAATCATACACGTTTTCCTTTACCTTGAGGGAACTTTTTGTAACGCGTTTTTGTCTTTATTGCCAATTTAACTACTCTTAGGTTTGTACTTGAAATTTCCGCAGAGCAGTATGTTTGCTCGTCTGTTCCGATAGATAGTTCTGGTGCAGGCTGTGAAGGCTGGCTAGGTGGAAACCGGCAAAGGGAAACACGTTGCCGGCCGAAAAGCTCTGTCCTGACAAGCACTTTTAAACTGCTTAAAAGTCGCTTAACATGATTATGTCCTTTTAGGCTGTAAGCTCTTCAGAGCAATGACTGGCCCCTCCCACAGCATTTTATGGTAGCCAGCACGTTTTAGGCACTGCTGTAGTGCAGATAATTAGTGATTATACCAATTTAACACAGGCAATTAGAAAACAGGTGGGAAGATACTGAAGAATGTTTTTTTGAGCTACGTTAAAGAGTTGGCCTGGTAGCCAGATGTGTCTGGTTCAAAATTCCCAATATCATTCTAAATTTTGTAGGTATTAGGGTGTCTATGGGTCCTAATGATAGCCGTGCCGTTGTTCCTCAGGTATTCCTGATTAGCCCTGCAACCCATGTCAAGTCAGTGGAATCAAGAAAATGTGATGTCCATTTCCACAGTTTGAATTTTGTTACCTGCCATGTGTGCTTTGCTGGTAGGGTGGCGCTGGGTAAAATTTGGAACTAAAATGAAATCAAGATCCAAACCATCTCTAGTTCTGCAAAATCTGGATTGACACTCTTTTGTAGAAACAACAAAAAAAAATCCCATACTGTCCATTGCTAATTCGTCTCCCCGCTCATTATTATTTGCCAAGTCACATGGAACCACAGAGTTTTATACCTGCTTGGAAAAGCTCAGCATTTATAAACAGTACATGTAAAATGCATTCTCAGACTCATCTTGGCCAGCGTCAGTATGAAGTAGACTCTCTGCAACATCAGATATTTCAGTTGTTTGGCCAGCATACGAGAGCGTGGGACATAGTTCTGGGGAAGATTTTTTTTTTTTTATTTTAACACAGCCAGCGGAAGTTAGCTGAGTTTCACAGAAATAGCTGCCAGTGTGTAAGCTGACACATTCCATGCACCACAGAGGTTAATACATTCATTCCTATTGTGCCTTTGTATGAAAAGCTACACTGTCTGTGTGTTAGTTTCTGATTCTGTGAGTTACAAATAGCGTAGGCGGCTTAAGGATCATGGGAGCCATAAAAGTCATCCTTCTGAAATGGATTTTGAGGAGTAACACCAGTATTGATAAAGTGCTTATAATAGCCAAACACACATGAACACACATGTGGAAGAAAGCAAGGAAAAAAAGGGAATACAAAAATGGAGCTAGCTAGCAATGAGAAAATAGAGGCTTGAGTCTAATTAGCCTTATTTTTGGAGTCATTCAAGCTAGTCCTAAAATAATGCATTGGTGCTCCAGTAAGTTGGGAGGATGGTTCGTTTCAGGACCATCGTTTGGACTGTATCTCTGCATGCGGTGGGCTGAAGTATTCTGATTAAAATAAGCTTTATCAGAATGGCAGTTCCCTTATAAAAAGGTGGGCTTTGTGCAAATGTGGCTGACTTCATAAATATATTAAGATGGGTTGAGGTTGTGGAAAATTTGAAAACCTCAAAGGCCTCTTGTTTCTGTGCAAAGGAGAACATTGAAATGAAAGTATTAACCAAATTCACCTATGTTGTTTTGCTACATGTTATTTAGTTTGGAATTAAAGGGAGAGTTTGGCAGCCAGTCAGTGGGAGAGGTTCAGATTACTGACTCTGTAGACTCCTTCAAATCTTTCAGACTGCATCTCTAAAGGTATATATATGCTGGAAAAAAAATTAAAGTTGTCTTTCTTCACGTCTTAACAGTGATTTTTAGCTCTCAGCACAACCTGTCTAATAGAAATTGGGCATGCCTCTTAATTTCTGGTGCCATTTGAAAGAGTCAGATGGGCTAGATGTGCTTTGAGAAAGATTTTATCATATAGTATTTAGAATGGACTGTCACCCATGCTGACATGAGTGGAGCTGAACCTAGTGTAGCTGCTGGCCTAGAAGGATTGTGCCTTCCAAACTCTGTTCAAATCCAGTTTAGCTCAGTGATGACTGTCTCTTCAGTCATGAAGAAACATTCATCATGTTTCTCATGAAGAACTGGTCCAAAACCACCTTTAAATGGCATGAGTGACTGTGCAGCCATTACAGTCTCTTTCAAGGAGGAATTCTTACTTCAGACGTTCCCCTACATTACATATAACCATAGTGTTCCCTACAAACCCTCTGTCATCTGGTCGTCAGACAGTACAAGGTCAGAAAAGTACAATGTTCCTTCTTTTCTTCTTTTTGTATCCTCCCTATCACTCATCTTTCAGGCTTTGTATACTAAAAGCAGTAGTTTTCAGGGGAGATCAGAGAACCTGACACAATGCTTGGTTTGTTGCTCCCAGCAGAATTTAGTACACAACGTTATCTTAGTGAAGACAAAGCCAAGGAATTTTTCTTGTTTGTTTGTATAGCGATAAACATGCCTTTGTTATTTCGAAGTCGGGACATGGCTTTAGTAGTGTACTGTGAGATCAACAGGAAGTGCTTTTTTATCCCTGGTTGTCAAAATTTAATTTACTTTTTGTAAATGAAATGCACACTGTATTTATAGAAGAACAGCTAACACCTGATTATTTTCCTGTGGCAAAGATACTCTTTGTCAGTGAAAATGTAATCTCATTTTGAAATGTCCTGTTGATTCCTGCGGACGGGTTCGTAATCTGAAGCCCTCCATTTCTCTCTCTGCCTTTGAGTCCACACTGGGGCATACAGATTCTATCATCTGATATCTGCCACAGTTAGCCATACCTGATTGCCTTTATTTCCAGTATCCACAGAGAGACTAATGACTCAGTAAGAATGGAAGTTAAAACTTATATTGTTAGATGTCACAACAGGAGTAGATGGATGGGGCCATGCTGGAGAAACTGTAACTAACACGATGCATTCTTGAATCTGTCCTCTGAGGAAGAACTATCTATCAGCCCTGCATTTTCAGTCATACCCACATTTAATGACATAAATGCCACTTGAAAAAAAGGTTTTAGCTTTCTTCTGTTAATGAGAAGATTCAGTCCCCAGCACTGTGTGAAGTGTCTTTTAAAAATACACCCTCAATTGCAGTAAAATGCCTCTTGGTTAACACGCGACTTTCTTATGTTGGTGTTTCCTCCTGTAAATTTCATATGGTCTTGCCCTTCAAGAGTGATATAGCATGGTGATTCTGTTTCGAATGAACAAGAACAAAACTGAACATAGCCTTGCCACTGTGTTTTACTGGATAAGGCTAATAAATCGAAAGTACTGCTATATGCCTCGTA